CCAGCACCAAGATCCTCGGCCCTGGCACGGGAGATGGCAGCCTGGGGGACATCACACCCGGCGACGCCGAGATCGCCCTCGCAGACGACGTGTTCGCCTTTGGTGCGCACGTGGGCCGCTGCCACCCCCCGCGCGCAGCTGCGCCTTTCCAATGCATCGACGACGCCCTGCGCTGCCATTGATGTTGTGCGAGTTCGCGGGAGTATGTCATATGTATATGCCTGCCATACAACAGCGGTGCAACTGACTAGGTGCACGCCATTCGCCGGCCTCATTCGCAGGCGCCCTCGTCATAGGGACCCTGCAGGCCTGCTGCGGCTGGGGCGCCCGCGACGACCAGGCCCTGGGCCGCCGTTCACTCCAGACGGTTGCCGCGGGTGCGCCCTGCCTGTACAGCACGCTCGCGGCCGAGTGCATGGCAGAGGACCCCTCCCAACGGCCGAGCATGTCCGAGGTTGCAGACAGGCTCGAGGCCCTGCTCCCCTCGGCCCCAAATATGATGCTCGCGAGGTCAGATCTGGTGCGATTCAGCTCTTGATCATTTGCACTTTTGTTGGATGGCGTTGCTCTGGGCTCTGGGCAAAGTGCAGCAATGGCGTGAGCCCCAGCCCAGCGCCTGTGCAACGCCTCGATTCCGCACGGATGCCTCAAGAGATCAAGCACCGTTCCTACGCCTAAAGTCTCCAACTTTCTGCTGGACTGCACTCCTGCCTTGCCACGCCATATGCTTCTTGCCCGCTGCTCGTGACAATTGGAATGGCGCTGTGGTGCCTGGAATGTGTTGTTCCACAGGCCCTAAGGGATGCGCCCCCAAAGAATCTTGAGCACGACTCGTGCATTTCTGTGGATCTGTACCGGCTTGCAGTCTCCCGGCCCCTGCCTTGCGGCCCCGCCTGCACCTCATGCGTTCGTTGAGAAGGAATCCATATATAGGCCGCCGCTGGATGTTGACACTGCTAGCTGATTGCAATGTGCCCCTGTCTTCCGCGCGATTTCCTTGCCTTCCATACCACGCATTGATATGGCCGTGCCGGCAACGCGCCATGCGTGTCTTGAGCGTAGCTATGAGCGCCCCAATCAATCGGCCCATGCACGCGCGCTCTATTGGTGTGTGTGTGTGTGTGTGTGTGTGTGTGTGCGTGCGTGTGTGTGTGTGTGTGTGGGTGGGTGCGTGTGTGCGTGCGCGCGAGGTTACGCGCGTGCGTGCCCTGCCGCAGCTCCTCCTGGTGTCCACGCTTGGACCGGTAGGCCGCAACCGGGCACGTATTTCAATGTGCACACGGGTCGGCCCGGCGTTATCCTCCATGATCACCTTCTTACGCGTGTGAGTCCCTGTACACCGTGGCATTAGCACACCAGCGGCCAGCAGCGAGTTGCTGGCGGCTGGGCAAGAATTTGGAGCCAGGCTGTGTCCTATCAAATGGATGCCGAGCCCAAGAGTCTTACATGATTGGTTCCCACGCCATTCTGTTGCTGAAGAGGCGGCCAGTGTTGTGCCTTGCGGCGAGCAAGCACACACTGCCCTTGCTTGTGGCTCGCATGGCGGCGCTTGTCGTCCCTGCAAGCATTTCGCTGCATGGGCACTGGCACGAATGCCTATTTCATAATGATTGGTTTGACAGGGTGCTTGCTATGATCAGCAAAATAGGACTGAGGTGTGCGGCCCTGATCGGCACGATGCCCCTCCCGTGATCGGCGGCTGCTGCCCGAACGCAAACGCACGCCCCCTTGAAACCCGCTTCCGTTATTCTGCCCGCACCACTTCTCAAGGTGGCCACGCCCGCAACACGACACAGCAACCAACTTCAAACCAGGATATCTACCACCTACTTTGCACCACACGCCCTGATCCTCTGCTCATCTACTTCCGTGATTGGCCCGGGCGCGTGCTGTGGCGTCCGCTGTGCGCCGGCGCCCTGCGCCAGGCCACGAGCTTCAGCCGAGCGCCGGTGCATCCAATAGCACATGCATGCAGGAGCGCTTGCAAGCATCAGACTTTCCAGCACGCACCGCCTTTTATTGCATCGCTTTCATGAGCACGGCATGCGGTGCCGCGGGCCGCCCAGTCCCGCCTTGATCGTCGTGATGAGTGCATGCGTGTGGCGCGCCAAGCCCTGTTGTTTTCAAGGCGTCAATAATGTTGTTTTGGTGCCACGCCGCGAGCCTTTGGGTTCTGCCTATCAACAATACCTCTCTGCCAACGGTCTTCGCCCTTCTTGACGTAACAGGGCGAAGACCCTTCCTTTGCTTTCCACCCGGTCCTTCACACCAGGCACGCACAATCTCGCACAGTCTCGCCAAGCGCTCACACACATGCTGCCTTGAACGGCAAGCCGCGTTCGCGCCGGCCGCCCCTTGCCCTGCATAACCGTGGACCACACACTGATGATGCGTCCGGCCTGCGCGCAGGGACGTCCCATTCAGCTCAAAGGCACCCCCTGCCTCGTTCCGGAGCAGCTGCTGCGCTCTGGCTGGCTGCTTGGCCTTCACCACCCATTAAATACGTATGCTTGCAAGCCTGCGTGAACTCCCGCCCGTCATCGCAACAGTCACGATGGCCCTTGTTGGAATTTCTGGTACCCTCCATCATCACACATGTACCATCCCAAAACCCCAAAGCGGGGGCCCCAAACCTTCCCAAAGCGTGCGGCCGGACACGCCCCCAGGCTCGTAATCCTCTAAACGATGGGCCGCCCTGCTGGCCTTCTTGTCAAGCTGGACGTGTTGAGCATGTAACCACCAAATCTGTCTGTCTCAAAAGGCGAATGCCGCCGCGCTCATGCGCATCGCCCCGTCTGGAACCCTCGCCCCTACTTGACGATGCCATTATAAACATGCGGCCGCCTGTCGGGATGGCCCTTGTGTGTTTCAGGGTTACCTGCAAAGGGGCGCGCCGTGGTGGGGGCCCGTGGGTTCGGGGAATTGCGAGTCACGCGCGCACTGCATCAATCTGCCCATGTTCCCAGCCAGCGCCCGGCGCTTGCTGGACGCCAGTATGCATTGTGCACGGCATGTGCGACGTTGAAGGGGGCGGTGGCGCCCCGGCGCGGCGCTTGCAGCGGATTGTCGACGCTGGCCAGCAGGCGTGTGCGAGCTTTTACATCCTGCCCAGCTTGCTTTGTGCAATGTGACACATGGGGTGGGCCCGCCCGGGCTGACTGCAGGGCTATCAGCGGCCCCGTCGTGGACGGTTCAGGATTATTGGACTTGCAGGAGTGCCCAAGCAATAGACAGCGTGTCAGTTGCTTTGGCTCGATGAATCAAGTTCAGAGGCTTCACAAAATTTGCCCTTCGAAGTTTACCACCAATGACTCGCTTACGAGGTCGCAGGCCACTTCCAGACGAATTCCGACCACTGCGTCGACACGCACTAGTGCCACGGGTGCACGCCATCAGCATCGGTCATTCTCGGCGCTTTCTTCAGGGACTTTTTGACCCTGAATATTGAATTTAATCGCTTTGCTGAGGTGCTCAAAACCTTCACACACTCAGGACACGGTGCCGTCACAGCACCGTGCTCGTGATCGCAGGTCGGGGTGTGCGGCGTGAATATCACCATTCTGCAGGTTGTGAAAGCAGAAACTGCTACAAAATGGGTTCATGTGCTTCGCGGCAACGGTGTGACGAACAGGCACCTGCAAGGTTCTCCACTCAGCGCCGCCCCTTCACCCACCACCTGGACACGACGGTGTGGGGGCACACCTCGCTGCATGAAGAGGGGCGCGCTGCTGGCGGCGCAGCGCATGGTGCACGCGGCGCGCCGTTCGACAATCCGCAGCCGCCGAATACGCAGGTGGGTACATCTGCGGCGCGCGCGCACGTGGCAACAGTCACGTCCGACCTCTCGCTCTGTCAGCTGGCAGTATTGCTGCGGCCATGTTGATGGGGCGGCGTACCACGCACGCATTCACACACGGCGCGCACATTGTCGCGCGCACGGAAATCAACACACACTCAATGGCAGGGCGCCGCCACCCCAGCGCTCCCGCCGACCGGCGATGGCCTGCCCACCAGCGCCAGCGGCAGCCGGAGGGACACCCTCAGCACCACGCGGACTCTGAGCTCCAGCTGTCCCAGCACTCGCCAGTCCTCGCGGCTCTCCGCCACCGCTCTGAGCGCCACCACAGCACCCTCAGAAGCGTCTGCTCACTGGAGCTTCAGCTGCTTGTCATGGCTTCAGAACACAGCGGACACCCCGGCCGAGGTGCGCTTGTGTGGGGGGTTGGCAACTACGCAGGTGTGCGCGTTGCCGCTCTCCACTCCTCATTGCACCTGCAAACGCTGCACGTACAAACCGTCTCACGTGCATATATGCGCCACAGGCTGAAGAGTCTCCGAGCACGAGCCTGCTTCAAGGCGCCCTGGCTGGTGGCAACGCCGCCCTCGCAACTGGTGCTGCAGATGTCAGCTGTAATGACCAGCACCTGCAGCAGGGCGTTCTTGCAATTAGGCGAGAGTGCGTACAAGGCAGGGCCGAGGTGCTGCATGGTGTCTTCAACAACACGCCGGCCGCCATCAAGGTTGGCGGGCCTGGCACCTGTGTAAAGCGCATGGGCGGGGGCGCAGAAAGTGGGGCCGTCTGGTGCATGCACTTGATGCGAAAACATGTGCGATGTCCGTCTCGCAGTGCATGAATGCTCTTTGCTGCGCCAGGGCTTGTACAATGTGTCATATTATTAGGCCATGACCTCACCCCTCCCAAATCACTCCTCTCCTCGTCCACCGCTCCTCAACCTCGCAGATCATGTACACCGGCAACTCGCAGGCAAAGGTGGACCTTGTGTTTCGGTATGGTTCGCCTGAAGTGCTGCATTTGACGTCGTTTGCTGTTGAGTCGCCCCTACATGACGGCCGCCGGCTGCCTTGCGCTCACTTGCTGTTCTTGCATTGTACCAAGCTCACGCCTTTTCGTCGGCCGCGCTTCGCTGCCCCGCTTCCCCCTTCCGCGCGTTCCCGCCAATTCTATCCTTGCCTCACAGGCTCTGCGCCACGCAGTAGAGATGGCGGTGCTGTCCAGCGTCCGGCACCCCAACATCGTCCAGGCCTACGCGTGTATGCCCGATGTTGCCCTGGAGACAGGTGAGAAGCAGTGGGCATTATGTGCGCACTGCCAACTACGTTGGGGACTCATTGCAGTCGCTTTGGTGCATTGAATTTGGTGGTTGAAAGCTATTGACCAAATGTGCGTTCAGTGTGGATGCCCACAACCAGACCTCCACCCAATCATTCACAGAAGCCTCGGCTGTGATCACAGGCGAGACGAACGGGACCCAGGTGCTGCGATTCCGCAACCTGCTGCCCAATGAAGTGTGCCTGGATGCCACTGCCTGTGACATCATGGTCATGGAGGTGTGTTGTGTGTGCACGCGCACATGCATGCGTGTGCGCGTGCGCGCAAGCGCATGCACAGATTTATCTGCATGCACAAGCCAGGACCTGCCTCTGCAGAATTATGCGCGATACTGGTATTGTTGCATGCCCAACCCTAGCCTCCGGCAATCAGACCCCACTCGGTTGATACAATATCCGCTTCGTTCCCTCGCAAACCTACCGCCCACTGTTGGCCCCCAAACAGCTGTGCGACCGCGGCACCCTCAAAGACGCCCTCGCGCAGGGCGCACTGCCCGCCGCCGCTGCAGCCTTAAGCACGGCTTCCAGCGGGGGAATCACGTTGCTGGAGGCGGTGCTGGGCCTTTTGATTGAGATGGCGGCCACACTCCACTATCTGCATCAAACGCAGGTGGTAAGTTGCCCTTAGATGACTCGCACCATACCTTTGCGGCGGCAGTACTGGAATATGTGCTGCTGTTGCCTGTCCGTTAGCCACTCCTCGGCACTGCAAGGTCTCTCAGGCCAAACAGCACCCCCGCCCCTGCCCACTGACATTGCACGTCCACCAATGGTGCATCCCTACCCCTGTGCCTCCTGTGTCCCCCGACCCGTTGGCTCCCAGGTTCACGGCGGCGTCAAGGCAAGTGCCCTGCTGCGCGCCATCGAGCACGGCGTTGTAGCGCCTCACCAGGCAACCGCTTGGGGCTGTGCGTACCTGGCACCGCTGCCGCAGTCCCCGGCTGGGGCTGCCCGTTCAGCGTTGCAGGGTGGGCTTACTTCACGATCGCCTGGGCGGCCTGCGCCTGCCTGCGCACTGATCGTACCCTGCCTCCTGCTGCCTGCTCGCTCCTGCTCGTCCGTTTTGTCAGGCTGAGAACATTCTGCTCAAGTCGGATCTGGTATGCCCTCTGGGCTTCAAGGTCAAGGTGGGGCCACCACACCATCGCAGCTGCGACCGCAGCTTCGTTCATCAGCGGCGCTGGCGCTGCCAGCCAGCATTCTCTGCTGGCATACCTTGTGCTCGTGCTCATGTATTGTGGTTGTTCACGTGCCCGCACAGCCTCGTGGCACATCACCCACCCTTTCACGCACTCTGCATTGACCCACATGCAATGCAACCGCCTGCATCACTGCCCCTTGGTGCAGCTGGCGGGCTTTGGAAGCGCGAAGATCCTCGGCCAAGGCAGGGGCGACATCGGCCTGCAGCGCATCTCCTGCTACGACGCCGACATCGCTCGCGCAGATGACGTGTCGGCTTTTGGTGTGTGAGCGTGCTGCCCCTGTGGATGTGCACCCCCCTGATGCACGCAACCACGCTGCTTTGATCTGCAGCATTGTCATCAGGACGGCCAGCTGCAACCCATCCTGCGTAGCTGCGCGTGCGGGCCACCAACCAGAACCAGAAGCTTTGCTGAGTGGGCCGCCATCCCCCTCGGCCTCGTCCGCAGGCACCCTCATCCTGGAGACCCTACAAGCATGCCTCGGCAGCGGCGTCAGCGACGGCCAGGATCAAGACCTAACTTCGGCCTCCCAAACGCCGATCAAGGGCGTCAACTGCCCGTACAGGGCTCTTGCGGCTGAGTGCATGGCAGCAGACCCCTTACGGCGGCCTTGCATGTCCGAGGTTGCGGACAGGCTCGAGGCGCTGCTGCTGGCGGCCACTGTTTTCAAGTGCCCGCCTCACAATCTGCTGTGATTGCACTCCAGCTCGCCATTCTCTGCTGCGTGGACCTGTAGGCCGGCGCTCTACCAGGGATAGTCTGAGGCCCGCGCTTGGGCCTCTTCAGCGTCTCATGCAATCTGCTGTGATTTGCCCCCTCCCTCGTGAAGCCTTGGGCTGGGTACCTGCAACTACTGAGCAGGCCCTTGCATGCGCGGTGCTGTGCCGCAACGTGCTTCAAACGCCATGGCCCTAGGCCGTCAACCTACTTCCTCAGCCGCCTGGATTTTTGAGCATGATTTTGTGCGTGCGGCTCATGGCTCCAAGTCCTCAACAGCCCTTGCGCTGTCCCGTCACCTCGCAAAGCCCATGGCCTCCTTGATAGAACCGGCTGCATACTCTCAACCCTTGACCGCCATGTGCTCAGGCGTGTTCTACTTCTCTTATGCCGCAGAGCCTCGGTGGGGCTGGCGGTGCGCCCTGCCTGACAGCTTCGCGCCCGTGCCTGCCCCCCTTCGCCGTCGTGCACGCACGCACGCCCCCCACAAGCAGCCGCCCTCCTGCTCGGACAAGCAAGTGGGTCGCTGCGGGAGACGCACGATGCGTGCACGGCGTGCTGGCCCGCTCAACGGGTTGTTTCTTCGCTCTGTATCTGACATGATGATGGCACACCAGCGGCGAGCAGTGCTTGGCCCAGCCGCTGCACTAGTGCGCGGCGCCAAGCTGTGCCGTGATCCCGCACGGATCCTTTGGCTGCAGATGGCGGGAGCACACGCCGAACTTTTGAAGGGCTGCTAGGGTCGCGCCATGCGGCAAGGGCCACACATGCGCGCGCCCTTTGTGGCCACTGGCGGCACTTGTCTTTCTTTCGCGCTTGCCATGCACGAGTGACGTGGGTGGCAGCATGGGGTCGCACAACACCTATCCCAGTCATCACCGTCATCACCCAGGTGCACCAGTGCCTGCTTCCCACCCAAAATCCAATCGGTTCACTCACATCTCTAGCTCTCACTTGGGTCGGACAGCCACTGGACTGGCAAATGTGGCCTGTTTGCACAAACACCCGTACTCGTCCCAAAACGAGGCAGACAACCCCCCACCTCTAGAAGAACCCCGCAATATCCAAAAACCCCCTTGCTGGGGACCAATGCGATCCGGCGCGATGGCCTCATCTACCCTGCACTTGTGTCCTTACCACGTGCCCGGCTGCTCCCTTGGTTGCTGGCCGGGACACGTGCTGTGCGTGCTGCGCGAGGCTCGCCTGCGCCAGGCGTCGATACTACGTCAAGTGCTTTGCAGAGCAGGTGCACGTTCAATACTTCTGTGCCCAATAAGGGGACGAAACCAAGCACCACTCAACTGGCCCCCAAGACTTTCGCCCGTATTGCATGCGCCACTGTTGAGCGCACCGTCCACTCAATCAGCGCGCACTGCGCGGGGACGCAGTCGCCCGCAGTCGCGGTGTTAGGTGAAAGCGGCCCCCGCGCCCAGCGCGCCGCCCCGTTTTTGCGCAACAAGCGACCCTTTTGGGCTGCAGCGGGTCACAGAGCTCATCAATCCGTGTTGGCTTTGCAACAGTGCCTTGCATGGCATGCGGAGGTGGGCAATGATCCATCAACGTGCCCCCTCCCATCTTTCAATAGAGATACCCAGCATTGACTCCAGCCGCTTTCGCGGGTCAGACTGCCCCGCCGTGGGCCCACAATCACGAAGCCGTCTGTCCTTGGACGACCCTCCGTATGTCATCTGCTGTGAGGCCACAGCGCGAACGCAGTCAATGTGGCGCTGTTTAGCAGCAACCATCACTACCGGGTGCTGGTATATCTGCTGCCAGTGTCTGTTTTTTCCTCACCCCTTCGCCGCAACCAACCGCACACTGAGCCTGGCACCACCTATCCACCATGGTCCCAACCCAGCATGCCCCTCCCCTTTGTTGCCATGACACCTCTTTGCGGTGCCTCGAGACAGCATCACAGCCGTTCGCACGCCCTATGATCGCAGGGTAGAAATCCTGGCTGTGCCGCCGGTCAATGGTGACTGAGCTTGCATCAAATGAGCCGGGCGTGCATTGGTTGTGCGGCGCAGGAGGCCCGCCAGCGCCTCGAGCGCAGGCTTGCTTGCGATCAATGCAGACAGATGTGCTCAATTTCCAGGGGTGGGTGCGATGAGGCCTTGGGGCCGCTTGGCGCCTGATTTGTGGCGTCCGCTCATTGGCTCCAGCGCAAGCATTAGGGTCCCCCACAATCCGCCAGAAGCCTCCGAGGTGCGCCGCCAGCGCTCCACGCACGCTTGGGGTAAGTTGGCTTTGGCTGAGGCGCCGTGCCATGTGCCGGCGGTTTGCGCTCCCAGTTTTTCGTTACTCATCGAAACGGATTGGGTTGTCTGATGAAATGTCGGTCCTAAAAGTGGCCAGTGGCTTGGTGGCGCTACGGCTCAACAGCAGTAAACCCGATCGCATGTGTTTAGCAACAAGGCTGCAGCCAGTAACGTGACACACAGGTGGTGCGTGTCCAGCCGTGAGGATCAAATGGGGCAGCTAGAAGTTGGCAAGGATGCAAGTAAGTGAGGGCCCAAAGACCTCTGTTGCCTGATGATGAATCACGCGCCCAAACCAAACGCAAGTTGGTTGGGACAGCAGCGGGGCACTACTCGTCAGATCGCGTGGCATGACGCCTGGGGCATGAGAATCGCCGCCTGATGCACCTGATGCTCCTGGGTGAATCTGCACGATCACGGATAGAGCTGCAACTACCAGGCTAGTGTCAAACGCAGCAGAGTGCTGCATAGTGCACATGCTCATAGAAATTCATCAGCCATGAGCAGCTGACATCAGGGCCAAGCCAATGGACGAATCACAGGGTTTTCCTGCTAGCGTTTTGCAGCATGCTGCTCTAACCCGACTGGTGGTGGCTCTGCGGTCCCACGTGCTTCTGCTCTGGCCGCTGCCCCTCGTTTTGTGGCTCTTTGCGCCCCAGATGGTCATGTCCCTGATGACACCATTGCCCGGTCCATCGCTCCTCAAGCTGACCCTGCGGCTGCTGCTGCTGCTGCTGCAGCAGCAGCTGTGCCTGCTCCTGAGCCTCCAGCTGCTGCTGCTGCCGCTGTGGCACGCCAGTCAGCGGCGGCGGTTGCCGCTGCTGCCCCTGCTGCTGCGGGTTTTGCTGCACTGACACCTGCACGTGCTCTTGCCGCGGCAGCTGCTCCCCCTGCTGCTGCTCCTCCTCCTCCTGCTGCTGTTGCCACTGCCACTGCCGCTGCTGCTCCTGCTGCCGCTGCACCTTGCAGCGCGACGGCGCCATGCCCAGCCCATTGACTGTCAGGACGAGCTCATGGAAGCGCGTCACATACTCCTGGCAGCAGATGATCGATGGTGGCAAGGCAATCTTGACAAGCCAAAGGGGTGCTGGGAGGTTCTAACGCAAACACATCAGTCATAACAAGCAAAGCGATGGGCAGGCCGACAGTGGAGTGCAGGCCCTCGGTGTTTCAAGGGGTTGTCACCACTGCCGAGGCGCGTTGATGGGGGGCGGAGCAGGGGGCGCGCGTACCTCCGCATCAAGCAGGTGCAGCAGCTGCATGTCGTACGCGCTGCGGCGCTCGGAGTCCATCAGGGCTGTAAGGGGGGCAGGGCAGCCGCCCCAGAGGATGCAGAACGGGAGGGATGCGCATTACAGCACCTGGGGGTGGGGAGCGCGCGGCTGCGACGCCAACCCCAGGCCTGCAGCCCTTGCGAGGGCGAGCCTGCTGCACAGGCCGGCTGGGTTGCCCAGCTCGTGGCGGGCGGTGTGCAGGTTGGGTGGGCGGGAGCGGCGCAGCTGCGGGGAAGCTGCTCACTCTCGTATGCCTCCTGGATGTCCTGGAAGCGCCGCTGGGCGGCGCCGCTGTCGCCGCCCCTGTTCCGGTCGGGGTGCCACTCCTGAGGGCGTCGTTTGGGGTCGCGCCGGCAAGCGTGTGATTGATTTTGCGGGTGTCACCCGGTTCTGATTGGCCCAGGGGATTTGAGAACGCACAGGCTTGGGGCCCCGACCATGCTCGCCCAGCCGTCAGGTTGCCTGCACAGCTGCCAGCAAGGCTGTCGTGCTGCTGGGCTGTTTGGGTGGGTGCGTGCCATCGCTCAGGACTGCAGCGACGGCGGCGCAGAGCATCAATTGGGGCTGAAGCGACGGCGGCGGAGAGTGCGACCCTGATTCGTTTGTTGACCCAAACACCTTGGCCAAGCGGATGTAGGCGGCTCTGATCGCATCGTCCGCGGCTGCGGCCGAGGGGGCAGGCGCCCGGAGTGGCGCCAGATCGCGCCAGATTAAGCTGATGGCTTCAGGGAAGCACGGAGCAGGCGGCGGCAATCATACTGCCTGCCCTTGCCTCGCGACCGCTCAGCGCAGCACTTCCTTCCCCACGTGCCCCACGTGGCATGCAGTGCAAGCCGCCGTTTGTTTGGGTTCGGACGCGTGGTGCTCACCTTGCAGATCGACCCCCAACCGCTCGTACAGCGTCGGCTTTGGCGCCGCAGCCATATTGCCCGTCCAGCCTCCCAGCCTCACTGCGCCCGCCCGCCCGCCCGGGCCGCCAGGGCTTCTCGCAGCGCCATTGCGATCGCTGCTTGATTAGGGGGAGGTGCTACGGGCAGCGTCTGCCTTGTGGCTGTGCCGATTCAAGCCCCTGCGAAAGAGGCCCGAGCATGTGTGTGGGGCGCCCGACGCCGCTGCGTCTGATTTGCACAAGTCTGCCAGCGCTCCTGCAACGCATAGTGACGATGCAGAGGCTGCTTCACGCATACATTGAACGCTCACTCCGCCTGCCTGCTGGTGGGGCACTTGCAGGTGTCCCCGCAGTGGGCGCAAATCAGCGAGAGCATGTCCACAAACTGCGCACATTGCAGAGTGGAAAATCTTTATTGTTGCAGCGTCAATCGTATGCAACTCTAGTCAAGGGATGTGGAGATCTAGTGCAAGGTCGCTTCGTGGCACCAGGAGCCATCAAGGAGTCAGCAATGGCATCGCATCAGGCTGCCGAACTTTTTGTGTGCAGCGAGTGAGGCCGCTCGACTACTGCGTGCGAGCCACAGCCGCTGGTGCGTCGGCGTGGTATCGTAGTCCACACCACCCAGTTCTGCGCGTTGCACGCCAACCAGGCTTGCTGTATCTGTGGTGATATTCACACACATTGGAATGAATATGAATACTACAATGTGCTAGCTTGTATTTCCACCCACCTCTTTGCCGGATTTGCAGACGACGCGGGGAACGAGCCCAGCACCAGCAGCAGCGGCGCCGGCGGCGCCGGCGGCGCGGCAGACCCTGAAGCCAGCAGGCAGGCGCTCGAGCGCCTTTTCCGCGGCGGCGGCGGCGCGCTGACCGGGCCCGAGCTCACGTCCCTGATCCGCAGCAAGTGGGGCGGCCGCAGCTTCGAGGCGCGGCTGGCCAAGCGAGGCAGCAAGATGTACCTCCACGTTAGTCATGAATCAGTTGGACGGGGTCGGGTGGGGCTGCAGAGCCGGAGAGGGTCCTCAACGTGAATCAGGCTGCAAGGGTCGCAGCGGCTCTTGCCAGCATCACAAACAGACTGTTGACCCTCTGCAGACTAAATGCAATTTCCAAACCCACCCACTGGGGTTGAACGCAGCGCCTGCCAGCTCAGCGGCGGGGCGGCGATACCCACCGGATGATGCACGTGCAGCGGCCGCCTGGGGCGCCTTCTTCATGCACCATGACGCGCGCCCCTACCCCTCGCGACAGATTATGTGGAAGTTCCTGGAGCAACAGTCATTCCACATGACCCGCGAGGAATATGATGCACAGATGGCCGCGGTGCGGCCCCCCCCCCCACCCTCCCTCCGCAGCGCAGCAGCGGCCGCGGCGTCGCTTGCGCGTGTGCCATAGCGCTATTGACCTTGTGGCATCGCAGCATGTGTGTGCATGTGTGTGAGTGTGTGTGCGCGCGCGCGGATGTGTGCTCGTGTGCACCACTGAGAAATAGACAATGCAGGGCCGTGGAGCCAATGATTTTATGACAGAAAACTGCAATCGCCGGCGGCGCAGTCCAGCTGGCAGCACCCCTCGCTAGCCGCTGAATGCGTCCCATAGCAACGCCCGCCGGCCGGCCCTTGTCGCACCTTGCCAGGTGGCTGACGTTGTGTCAGAGTGGGGCGCCGCCGACATAGTGCGGCGAGCCATCGAGGCCGACAAGTCGAGAGGTGCGGGCCGCCGCTTGGGGCGCTGCGTTGACGCCGCCTTTGTCCACCGACGCGCGCGATCCGTATCACTCGTGAGGCGCCTCTGTGTCGGACGCGCGGCTGGCCGCTTGCAGCTGGTGGGCATCAGCTCCTGCCTCCATGCGTCCCCGCTATCGCCCCGCACATCACCTCCGTGTGCACGCAAAAGCCAATCCAGATTTCCACGCCCATCTCGCCCCAGGCCCTGGCTACACGGCGGGCGGCGGGGCTCGTGCCGTCAGCATCGCCCTTCCCGTGGATACTGGCGGCGCGCGCAGCAGGGAGTGGCGCTACTGACGTGCTGGGGGGTCGCAGGCGAACGGCGACGCACCGCTCAGGGCCAGCTGCCAGTGTTTGTACAATATTGGGTCGTCAGAGGGGAGCTAGGATGTTACATCGTTACATGATGTGGTGTAAACGTTCTTCTTTACTGGCAGGCACGCAGGCGGGCACCGCAGGACAAAGCAGCCACGGCGCGCCTTGCACAGGGGGCTGCCAGCAGGCCAAGCGCTTGCTGCAAATATAACGAATTGCTTAGCGCGAGCATCTGCGATAGCTTTGTGCGCAGGGTACGCCTGAGAAGGTCTGTGCTAGCTGTACGGCCACCGCAGCACGGCGGCGCGGCCCAAAAGAATGTGGAAAGGCTGCTGGATAGAGGGTCATGGCACGCAGGTTTCGAGGGGAGAAGGCTGTCCTGCAATCCTGACACGGATCAGATTGGATCAGAACCTGTGTGCGAGGGGCGGGTGGGTGGGCGGGGGTTGCAAAGCACACGTGTGGGATCAGAGAGGCAAGGCTGGGCT